CTCTCGGGTCTGTGCGTCTGGCGGTGGGGGGGCTCTCGGTCCTGTGCGTCTGCCGGTGGGGGGGCTCTCGGTCCTGTGCGTCCGGCGGGGGCTGGCATTCTGTCTGAGGATGCGTGTCCTCACACTCTTTGACTCTCATGCAGGTACGGGGAGGCAGAGATCCAGGAGAAGGTGGCCACGTTTAGGCTGATGCTTCAAGAGAAGGACATGACGGCCATCAAGGAAGAGGAGAAGCTGAAGGCAAAGTATGTCGCTTGTTTCTCATCATTGTCCTCAGTGTCATTCCGTGTATTGATGGTGGTGGGAAGTCTCTTCTACCTCTTGGGGGGCTTCATTGATGAGGTCTCTGGATTCAGTTTCCAGGTCTGCACGCCTTCTACATGGGGGGCTTCTCATCTCGCTGAGGACTTTATATCAGTCCACCGTTCCTCTCCCCCGGGCGGTTCTCGGGAGTTCCTTCTGTGGGACCAGCTGAAGTTTTTTCTGGCCCGGTCATAGATGAACTCTGCTGGTCTTTCAGGAATGTTTTCCAGTTTCCACATTCGACTTAAAAGTGATCCCAAGGTGGAGGAATCAATAGGTTCCCTTTTAATACACCCCCTCCTCCTCCCCTGGTGGCGCGCACTCGTTCCCTATAGAGATGTTCAACCAAAATAAATAGTGAGGACCTAGTGGTATGAGGGTGGATCTTCTGCAGTGTCCCACCTCTGCCCTCCATCTGCCTATTGCCTCTCCTTTCTGCCCATGAGCTGTAGAACATATGAAGGGTCCTCCTCCTCTGAACCCATGAGCTATGGAACATATGAAGGGTCCTCTGGACCCATGAGCTGTAGAACATATGAAGGGTCCTCCTCTGGACACATGAGCTGTAGAACATATGAAGGGTCCTCCTCTGGACCCATGAGCTGTAGAACATATGAAGGGTCCTCTTCTGGACCCATGAGCTGTAGAACATATGAAGGGTCCTCCTCCGGACCCATGAGCTGTAGAACATATGAAGGGTCCTCCTCCTCTGGACCCATGAGCTGTAGAACATATGAAGGGTCCTCTTCTGGACCCATGAGCTGTAGAACATATGAAGGGTCCTCCTCCGGACCCATGAGCTGTAGAACATATGAAGGGTCCTCCTCCTCTGGACCCATGAGCTGTAGAACATATGAAGGGTCCTCTTCTGGACCCATGAGCTGTAGAACATATGAAGGGTCCTCCTCCTCTGAACCCATGAGCTGTAGAACATATGAAGGGTCCTCCTCCTCCGGACCCATGAGCTGTAGAACATATGAAGGGTCCTCCTCCTCCGGACCCATGAGCTGTAGAACATATGAAGGGTCCTCCGAACCCATGAGCTGTAGAACATATGAAGGGTCCTCCTCTGAATCTCCCTTCTTTCTTTTTAGCCTTTCTGAGACCCACCAGCTGGCAGAAGCCAATGAGAAGAAGAATGAGCGCCTGCGCGCTGCGTTTGGCATCAGTGACAGTTATGTGGACGGGAGCAGCTTTGACCCGAACCGGAGAGCTCAGGAACAGCAACAACAGCAGCAGAAATCCTACAAGTAAGATAGATGACCCATAAGGGGTACCGTGACCAGGCGTGGCAAGGACCACGTGCTTCAGTCTTCCTGCCCAGTACAATCATGACATCATTCTGCCGGTGGGCCCAGGACCCAGATATTTAGATCCTAGTTACTACAGAACTGTGTGCACCCCACTGGTGGCCATGGCAGAATTATGGGGGGAGGGGGGGTGGGGGCGGAGCTGGAAGATTCCTCTTCTGGTTTCTCATTCCTTGTTCTTCATCTTTCAGTTTAGTTGCGGATTCGGAAAGTTCCCGCTCTCCGTCTCCAACCAAGCACAAGAAGAAGAAGAAGAAGAAAGAGCGAGGACGGTGAGTGCTCGGGGTGGGGGCGGAGCTAAGTGTGTGTGCTGTAGGCAGTGAGGGTGGAGCTATGTGTATGTGTGCTGTAGGCAGTGGGGGCGGGGCTATGTGTATGTGTGCTGTAGGCAGTGGGGGCGGGGCTATGTGTATGTGTGCTGTAGGCAGTGAGTTCTCAGGGGTGGGGGCGAGCTATGTGTGCTGGAGGTGGGGGGTGCTCGGGGTGGGGGCGGAGCTATGTCTATGTGTGCTGTAGGCAGTGAGTGTTCGGGGTGGGGGTGAGGGCGGAGCTATGTGTGCGAGTGCTCGGGGTGAGGGCGGAGCTATATGTGTGTGCTGTAGGCAGTGAGGGTGGAGCTATGTGTATGTATGCTGTAGGCGGTGAGTGCTCGGGGTGAGGGCGGAGCTATCTGTGCTGTAGGCAGAGTGCTCGGGGTGAGGGCGGAGCTATGTGTATGTGTGCTGTAGGCAGCGAGTGCTCGGTGTGAGGGCGGAGCTATGTGTGCTGTAGACGGTGAGTGCTCGGGTTGAGGGCGGAGCTATCTGTGCGAGTGCTCGGGGTGAGGGCGGAGCTATGTGTGCTGTAGGCAGCGAGTGCTCGGGGTGAGGGCGGAGCTATCCGTGCGAGTGCTCTGGACGGGGGTGAGGGCACTTTTGTACGGCACATATACCGGTTGGTGAGGAGGTTCCGGAGCCGTGTGCGTGGCACAGGCTGGCGTGTTGCAGACATACAAGGCTGGTGACTTCTCCCGGCTATATTGTGTGCCGCTCTCATGTCTGTCCCCTCCTCCCGGCGCTCACCAGGGACTGTCAGTAATCTGTGTCTCCCTTAGGTCTACCAGCCCAACCTCCAGCCATAAAGAGAAGAAGTCCAAGTCCCGGAAGCACAGGTAATTCCCCCCTGAGGGGTGTACGCTGCCGGTGTGCCGCCCCGTGTTAGGCGTCGGCAGCTCCTATTCTGAGCGCGCACACAAGATGCACTAAAGGGGAACTCTGCCCGGCTGGAGAAGAACCTCCCTCTGCAGGTTTCAGGCTTTTCCTCCTCTGATCCTGCCAGTAACTAACACACTTCCTGTCCCAGAGTGACAACACTTACTCACTGCACTGTAGCTGTGGAGGAGCATTGTCATCCTAGTACA